TGCCTCCACCGTATGTGATAAACTCTCAAATTCCGACATTTTTGGCAACCCTCCCCATTACACCCCTCTTCACTCAATGGAGCAGGTAAAGGGACTTCTGATGTGTTAACCCCAACCTCACTACTCTCCCCTTGAGAAGAAACCCTAGAGTAATAAGGTACATCTTCAAAGAAAGTAACATCCATAGATACAAATCTCTTTCCCGAAGTAGATTCATAGCAATAGTATTCCTTTTGAGTTTGTGCATAACCAAGGAAAATACATTTTGAGGCTTTAGGATCAAATTTGGAACGGTGAGGGCCAAGAGTTTGCACAAAGCAGGTACAACCAAAGGTTTTAAGAGGAACAGAGAATAGCTCTTTATTAGGATATAAAAGGGTGAATGGAGGTTTCATGTCAAAAACCCGTGAAGGGATTCGGTTGATGAGATACACAGCTATGAGAATAGCATCTCCCCAAAAATGTATAGGCACATTGGAGTTAAATATGATACTTCTAGCTACTTCCAATATGTGCCTATTCTTTCTCTCAGCCACTCCATTCTGCTGAGGGGTACGAGGGCAAGTACTCTGATGGATAATCCCATGGTTAAGAAAATAAAAGGTTAGTGATGTTTTAATGTACTCTTTCGCATTATTGGATCTGAAAATTTTGATTTTTACCCCAAACTGAGTTAAAATCATCTGATGAAAGATCCGGGTCAAGGTAGGAACCTCATCTCGAGAACGCATCAAATAAACCCAAGAAAACTGGGTGTAGTCATCAGCAAACAGCAAGAAGTATATGTACCCCCCCCCCCCATAGCAGTGATGTGATAAGGTCCCCAAACATTGGTATGCACAATGTCAAAAGGAATACTACTTCTCTTATTACTCAATGAATAGGTTGTTCTACAATGCTTTGCAAACTCACAACTTTCACACTTCAAACTGGACATCTGGATAGATTCAAATAAACTAGGAAACAAGCTTTTCAAAGACCTAAAGGACAAATGACCCAAGCGGTTATGCCAAAGCATAACCTGACCAACAGACTGAGAAACAAAAAACCCCCTGACTTCACTACCTTCCCATTGTGAACTTCCTCCAAGCAAATAGATCTCATTTGTCTCACGGCCAGTCCCAATCACCTTCCTTGTCTCCAAATCCTAAAAAACACATTGATTAGGAAAAAAGGTTACTGAGCAATTTTGGTTTTTAGTAATGCTACTAACTGAAAGTAAATTAGTGCTAGGTTTAGAAACATGCAAAACAGAAGACAGGGAAATGGCACTAGAAAACTTGATGTCTCCCTTGCCAGAGATGGGAACAAGTGAACCATCAACAATAGACACCTTGTCTCTGCCAGAGGATTAGTGATAGGTAGTAAATAGTGAGGGCAAGCCAATCATATGATCAGATGCACCTAAGTCTATTACCCAACAATGTTCAGTGTTACCTGGAGCTGAAGCATGATAAGTTGAGGCCTGTGTACCTGAATGAGCAAATGCTGAGGTGGGAGGAGCTGATGTTGTGACTGGCTGAGATGATGATGCTGAATTACCAACCTCTTTTTCCAACTGAGTCAAGGCAGCCCGGGCAGCAACTAAAGTGTCTAGTGGTGCTGCTCTTGTGCCTGATGAGGATGCACAATCAATAGTAACAGTCGTATTAGCATTCCCCTTTTTGTTTCTAAGTTTTGCTGGAACTAGATGAGGATGTAGCTTCCAACAGGTTTCTTTGGTATGCTTAGGTTTCTTGCAATGTTCACATATTAGGTCCCTCTTGTCTCCTTCTTCATATCTCTCTCCTTATCCCCCCAAACTTGGGTTTAGTTGCTACCAAGGCTGATTCAAGTGGTGGATGCTGTAACATAACTTTCCTTCTACTCTCTTCACTGTGCACTAGAGAGTAAGCTTGTGATAAGGTCACCCTATCTCTTGTTAGAAATTGTTATCTCAGAATGTCATACTTAAAATTCAGACCAGCTAGAAACTCAAATACCCTATTGGTTTCAACCTGCTTTCTGTAAGTCTATGCATCCTTCTGACTTTCCCACTCAATTGTTTCTAAATGATTAGATTCATGCCACAAGGATTTCAAGGTTGAAAAATAAACTGAGACTGGCTTCTCTCCTTGTTTAAGGTTATTTACCTTACATTTTAGCTCATAAGCCCTAGCAACATTGAGGGGTTGGGGGTAGGTTTCCTTCATGATATCCCAAATTTCCTTAGCTGTTTTTACCCATAAATAATTTCCGCTAATATGTGACTGCATGGAGTTACACAGCCATGTCATAACTAAATAGTTCTCTTGAACCCATTTGATATATATTTGGTCCTCCTTAGCTGGTTCCTTTACATCACCCAGCAAATAACTTAGCTTTCCTCTACCCCCAATAGCCATCATGGCTGATTGGGCCCACTCTAAGTAGTTTGATCCATCAAATTTTATAGTGGTAATCTGAAAATTGTTCTCAGGTATGCTACCAGCACCACCAGCCCCTAAAAAGCTTTCCCCTTGGCTCTTAAACTCCATTCTTTGTCAAGAAAAGGTTAAAGAATGCCTCTCGTAGTACTGAGACTGGGTAATTACACCCAGAATTTGCTAACAGCCGAACCTAAGGTCAAGAAAAATACTTTTTATATCACTAAGACTGGGTAATCTCACCCAAAATTTATTAACAGCCGAACCTACTTTACCCTTCTAGGTCCGCAATCCACCCAAAAAAAAAAAAATCTGATAACCTTCCAGAGAACCAAAACAACAACTTAGAGTGTAGGGGTGAAACTGAACTAACTGCAGCCCTAGAATTGGTGACAGTCAAGAAACTAGAGTCTTAAACCTAGAACCAGTCAAAGGTCAAGAAACAAGCCAAGAACTCGATCAATAGCCAGAAAAAAGGTGGGATCTCTCAGTCGCACCTCTTAAACTAACCAGAAAGACTATTCTTTTAATGCATCAATCACAAAGAACAGTTCAGGAGAAAAAATCTATCAGCCAAACCTCTTGAAATAATCAGAAATGGTGTTCCTTTTAATAGATCAATATCAAAACTTAACTTACTTCAGTAAAAAATTCTGGTCGCAACCTTCAAAATCAATTCTGAACCCTAATCTTGAAGGTTCTTCCTTCTGTCTGACTCTTCCTGACTGCTGGTCATCCTCTAATGCTTAGCCGCATACAGCCAACAATCTCCAAGATTCAGCCAATGATCTTGTTTTGCTGGAAACTTTCCAATCCTAGGAAATTCTTACGCAGCCAACCATGTTAGACTACCATAAGATTTCCTAGGTTGGCTCTGATACCATGTAGTCGTATGAGACTACTAACAGCCCAAGCTTTAGTGTATAATCAACAAGAAACTGAGAAGATGAGAGGAGAAAGAGAGAAGAGGAGAAGAAGAATTCAAAGGAGGGGTTTTAGAAAAGGAGAGGATACTTTATCTGCTGCCCCCCTCTTTCTATATATATTAATTCTTAAATAAAGATAAGACTGCTTTCATGGCAAAAATAAAATATTAATAAAAGACTAACAACTAATTGTAGACTGACACTAACAATTGACTGTATACGAGTACAATAAAGTGGTGGGGACCACATCAGTGGTCTCTACACAAAAGATAAGTAAATATCCATGTATGCAAAGGTTGCCATATGTTATTAGAACTGTGACAACATGCATAGAGCAGAATTTTCCTTTGCTTAGGAAGAAAGAAATAGCAGAAATATGGCATCAATTTGAGGGGAAAACTTATATGACTCCCCACCAAATACCATTTAATACTACAGCAGATAAATAGATGTTTGTCAATGTTTTGTCTCTGAATAATGAATCCGTGCTCAAATTGGTTGAATGTCAATGCTTTGTTTAAGTTTTTTATTTTCTCTTTTCATGGAGGAGGGGATAATTTTAGATAAGTTTTTTATCAATAATAAACTATTTTATTAATTAAATAAAAGAGAAATGTAGAAGAATACATCCACCCATTAGGGAGATAAAAGGTTTAGACCTCTTCTAGAAAAGTTTTTAGGCATAAAAATTTAAGATAAGTTTTATGGCTAAAAAATTACACTAGAAGTATAGCATAGGTTATAAAGGACCAAGATTTTGAACAAAATACTTCTAGAAGATTTTTACTCTTCTTAACAAGGATGTGATTTCCATTGGATCAGTTTGCATATCGTAGTACAGTAACTTCAGAAGAAGGTGGGAATTGTATATAACATTGGGTTTTGAGCTCTTCAAAGCAAGGTTCAAAATTTCAACACGTATCGGGCCATATCAGCCGGTACATATCGTATCAGGAAGGCCCAATACGCCCCTACAGGGGGTGTTTCGGGTCAGCAAGTGGTTCAGGGGGTAGATCAGCCTAAAACCGGCCCCTCTGAACCAGATTCGAAAAAAGAAACAGTACCAGTACAGGCCTATACGCCCTACCGGCGTATCACTCTACATCGATATTTTGAACCTTGCTTCTAAGACAAGGAGTTTTAAGGTCATACCTAGAGTAATCATTCATCAGAAGCTCTTTTGGTTATATGTCCAATATAGGGTTGCATTGTAGGTATGGTCTGGCTAAAGCATTAAGTAGGACCTAGTTTATATTATCTTGCTTTTGCTTGTGTTACTGCTTTTTGGCAATGGAGTTCATGTATCAGACTCTTAATTGATGTTTTGATATATTGTTCTCAAAAATGACAATATTATGATTGTGCTATTTTCCTTGTTTTTATCTTTGCTATTTGTGAATAATTTAGCTAACAAAATGCTTATTTCAGGTTCAGGTTGTTCCTAATGACGCTTTAAAGCTTGCAGTTAAGTGATCGATACACTTATTTTTTTGTTTCGTATTTTTGCAGGGGGTCTATAAGCATTTCAGTGACCCCGCAGAACAATCCAGGCGGTTATACTTTGAACCTTGATATTAGCTAAAGCCTTAAATTTTAAAACTCTTTCAAAATGTTTAATGCTAATTATAGCAATGTCAGAACAATAAAAACTTCATAGAGACCAAAGACGGGAAGATTAGTTCAATGCCTGAGACTAAAGCCATCAATGCCTGATACAAAACTTCATAAAAACTTCATTGAGACCCAACTGTACAATATGAAAGAGAATAAAATTGAACAAGCATGATAAAGCCATTAATGTCCTGACTCCTGAGTTCTAACATATATGATACATACCTGGCGCCAACATGAGACTAAACCATCAAACACTATGTTGTATAAGACTAAAAGCCAGAGGAGCCAAAATATGAGCAACTCTTGGCAAGGTAGGATAGGTGAGGGTGCCAAGAATGAACCAGTTGAAACTCAACAGGGCAACTGCATCAGATGCAGGCTTGTTCTTTATGGTGGAGAAGAACTGAACAACGCTTCTCAGAGACATGCCAACCACAAAGAAGAGAGCTACCACAAGGGGCATACAGGGGTCTTCAGCCTCCCAGATGATCATCCCAACCAAAAGTGAAAGAATTGCACTGAAGAGGCTCTGTGAAAGAGCAACCCCCCTGCGCTGATCAAGCACCTCATCTACTACCAGACTCCTAGAGATGAATTGATATGTGGGTGCATTGCCTTTTGATCCAATCTTTTTGAAGTTTTCAGACTGAATTTCCCCCTTCATTTCATGCTCCCATGAATCTTTTTGTATCAGGTCTTGGACAACCACTTTGTTTCCATCATAACCAGCCTTCCGTGATGGAACATCATATTCAGTTATAATACCATTTTCATTGACATTAGGAGGATCTTTGCAGCTTCCCATGTAATCTTGAGTCTTGAAGTCCCAAGAGCCTTTACCCCTAGCCTCATTCAGACGAGAGTTTTCATCCTTCAGATCTTGCAACTGTAAGAGTATTGAGTGTTTAAAGCAAACATGGTAATGTTAGTACAATTTGGTACCAGATGATCCTAAGAAACTCAGAGATCTGCATGGACTTAATTAGGGCATTGTAAAGTAAAATATATAAATTTACTGGTGAATCAGAGTATGACATGGAACAATAGAAGATATAACAGAAACAAAGTAGAATATACATGACCCTACAACAAATGGATCCTGATCCCCCCAAAAAATAAATAAAATCTCCTGAAAAGTCAGGAATCATACAGGTGACCCAATTTTGATTGCAGATATCTGAAGGTTAACAGTTAATTCAGTAACCAACACCACTAAGCAATCCACATATTAACATGATAATCTTATTATTTATGATGTTTTTCATATTAATCTAGTATTTTGTTTTTGCCCCAAATAAACAGTACATTAAATACCACAATATTAATATTTTATAGTATCAGAATAATTTTTCTCTTAAGCTTTGTGTTAAAAATTTACCTTCACAATAAATAGTATGTTAAACTTCTCTATTTATAACATCTTTCCATCTCCCATTAGATTTTAGTACTCCTCCCTTTTCTTCACACTTCTATTAGTAGGTAAATGTGATTCAGAAGACAAATTTGCAATAAAATATTTCTTTTTACAAAATAGAAATGGGATGGAAGGAGAGCATAGTGACAAGTAAAATAGGCTATAATACCCACATGCCTTGCCCACAGTAGAAAGAAAAGTTACCACCACATTAAATGGTATAACATCCAATGCTATCAGTTGATTCATCAAGACATACTTCGTTGTGTGGATATTCAGCAGTGCATACTTGATATTTCATGCTACTCATTACTGGTTAGAAACTGGTTAGAACTGTAGCAATACGAATAATTCTAAAAGGTAAGCTTCCGGACCTTCCGGTGTATAAAGGTTGTTCTGTGATTTTAAAGGCACACCAGTCACATCTGCATTGCCTCATGTTGTGCCAGAAACCAAGAAAATAAGAAAATGCAAAACCCAGAGAAGAACACCATTAACATTAGGTGTTTTTGTGCCTATGTCTGCAGATCCCTGCAAATGTCACTATTCTCATCCCAATAAAATACATCCCAGAGACTATTTTTATATCATTGAATTAGGTTTCTCAATGCTTTCCTAATTTGGGTACAATTAAGAATGTAAGATAAGACAATACCAATAATGCCCTTGTACAAATGGATATCAGAATAACTGTGGAATAAAGTGGTAGGAAATGATCAAGGGCTTATAGTTTAACAGAAAACATGAAAGAGTAAAATGTGGGACAGGACTCATGTAGCCAACCCCAAATAGCTGGGATTTAGGTTGAGCTGAATTTGGTAGTTAGTCTTCCTACCTTTTTTTTTTGAAAAAGGTAAAGTAAATATTTATTGAGATAGAAACTTCACTGCAACAGATTTTTACTAACATTTTGTTACCTATAGATCCTTTGTATCGGATGTTCATATAACGGTTTTGCATGACTGCAATGGTTTTACCTCTAGATTTTATTGTCATAACATGGGTGTTGGTGTTGGATATGCATGAGATCCACCAATTCCATTGTCACTTTTTTTGTTCCAAAGTTTTGATAGATTGGGTGCATATCTACATAACTAGACACACACCGAGCACAAAGTATAAACTCATATGGTTTAAGTATTAAAATTAAAAGTTGAAACTTGAATGCATACAATATTCTTTTTTACAAATGGTGATAAAATTTTATTGAAAATGTAGACTAAAGTAACCCCAGAAGTAAGTACAACTGTACAACATGGTTAATGTGACAGATTCATCGTAAAAGAAAAACCAAAACAGCACAATCAAAAAATGAAGATTACATCACCCCATCTTTCCTGAGTGCATGTAAAAGTACAGGCATAAAATTCCTGGGAAATGAGACACTGACCAACCATGTACATTCAATCTTTCTAATGAGTTTCTCCTTGGCTGTGCTTCTTTATTCAAATATTCTGTCATTCCTTTCTCACCATAGGCACTAGCATAAAGCAAACAGCAGTAGATTCCATAAGATAGTGCCCTTTTTGTTGTATCCTTCCACATGCCATGAGGCCATGAGAATTGAGGGATCACAAGGGATCACCCAAGACCTTATAATTGGCAAAAAACTGCATAAGTTGTTCAGCAATAGACTAGGGATCAAGTGATTTATCATCAGCGTTTTTTTTTTGACGAATAAAGAGAATATTTCATTAAAAAGGAAAATAAATACAACAGAAAGGTGATAAGATATCACCAAAAGAGAAACACAAATAAAGGACTCAACATTCAGACATCAGCCAACTGAGGGGTGGCTCAGTTGGTATGTTAGCTGGTTTGCTCCAGCATAGACACGGATTCATAACAAAACCAAAAAAACTACACAACTTACAAACATAAAGACTCATCAAACCAGACTCGAAAGAAGACCAAAGAATAGCCCCAAAAAAGAAACCCCTTGAACCGAGAGAACCACCAACCAGACACCTAATCAGAAACACAACCACCATTTGCAAATAACTGAGGCCTCATTCTTCATCCACAAGTGCATCCTCCTCGTCTGAATAGTCCTTGTTTCATGCCTCTCCTCCTTCCCCAAGAACTTTTTTTATTCAACTTCTCTTCTTTTCTCCTTCCAAACTCCTCAAAGGCCCTTCTAGCAAATACCTCAGCACCCCAAAAAAACAAACCCAGACTTTTTTTATCAGTAACGGCATAATTTATTAAGAATAAGAAACTTTAATTACAAGAGATGGGGAGGTAAACTTTCTTAACTCCCCCATTTTAGCAAAATAAAAAATACAAGATTAGAAATGAGCCCAAAAGAAAGATCCCGTATTCACCCCTTGCTTGGCTAACCCATCAGAAAGTGAGTTAGCAGTTCTCTTTACCCAACTGTATTTCACCTCAATGTCCCTAGTCCACTTAAATTTTTTCTTTTCATTGTTGTAGCTCCAAATACCAGAGTTGTCTTCCTTTAGCCATCTCACCACCACCTCTGAGTCACCTTCAAACACCACTTTTCTTAGGTTCAGCTCCCTTGCTCTTTGGGCACCTTCCAGAGCTGCAAGGATCTCACCCTAAGAGAGTCTCCTTCTCCAATTGGGCCAGAGAACATGGCTATAATAAGCCCCTCTTCATTCCTGAACACTCCCCCTATACCAGAGAGCCCTGGGTTCCTTAAACTACTTCCGTCAAAATTCAGCTTCATGAATCCAAGTGGGGGAGAGGTCCAAGAGGGAGAAGAAACCGCATTAACCTAGGCAGAATTAGCTATCTCTAACCAATTCCTCATCAAGTCATCGAAGGAAAAAACTGTGAATAGGTTCAGAGATTTCAGCCAGTGAGCCACCCTTACAAGTATCAACTCCATTATATTCTCAATGGTTCTTTCCTTTTCTGGGAAGGTATGTGAGTTTCTTTCCTCCCAAATAGACCAGCAGACTGCAGCCCTAATACATCTCCACATAATTCTCCCTCTTTTTAAAGGCCAACTAAAATAAGGAGAGAAGAGGCTTTGCACATTCAAGGGAGGGGTCCAGCTGCACCCAAAAAGGGAGAAAACCCATTCCCAAATAGTTCTAACATGTAGGCAAGAAATCTATAGGTGGTAACCAGTTTCCCCTTCAACTTTGCAAAGAATACACCTGTGTAGGGATAGACAAGAATTGGGTCTCTTTCTTTGAAGCAGGTCCCCTGTGTTAATTCTTTCCAAGAATGCTTCCCACAAAAACTACCATCCTGAGGAGGAATGGGCTTGCTCCAAACCTCTTTAACAGGGAAGGACAGACCACTAGGGGCAGAAGGCTGAGATAAGGTTTCAAAGAAGGAAGCACAAGAGAAAGTACCAGAGGAGGAAGGGGTCCAAATTCTGATATCTTCCTTAAAGGGATCCAAGAAGACATTCTCAAGAATGGTTAATAAAAAATAAAGCATTATTTTTTATTTTTTGTTATTTCTGTTATTGTACTCACTTACAGCAGGGGCACAAGAGTCTTTTCCCTTCTTATTTCTGCTGCCCTATATAATATAATAGAAGCTGGCACCGCCAACACTGTTCTATTGCTCCCAACCTTTTCTTCTTCCTTTCTTCCTTCTCCTTTTCTCTCTTCTTCCCTTCTCTTCTCTACTTCCTCATATTTCAATCGGATTTATTGCCAAGATGGTATCAGAGCAAGGCTGTTGAATCTGGGCGACCAAGTTTTTTCACTTCAAGTTGCTGAATCTGGGTGGAACAGAGGACTGAATCTGGGCTGATCAAATCAGATCTGCAACTGGTACAACCCTAAAGTTTTTCTTTCTTCTTTTATTTCTTTCCTTGGTTGTGTACCAAGTGGAGAGCAAATGAATCCAAACCACTAAATGTCGGCAGACTTTTGTGAGGGTTATATTTTTTATTTGTTGGATCGTGTGATCCTGTACCTATGAAAAGGTGACTGTAGGTCATAGATGACCTGTTTTCTCTGCTCGTTAGTCTGATTTCATGTGTGTTAGGATCTCTCTTATTGATTAATGCTGTGGTGGAACTTACACGTTATTGAT